ACTTATGTTTCACAGCTAAAAAGATTTAAGAAGAAAATCAACTGTAGTAGTAAATTTTAAAAAGTAAAATGGAATTTTTTTTAACTTTACTTAGTTAAATATCGAAAGACGCGTTTTCAAAAATAACACAAATCTCAAGAAAATATTGTATCTTTAAAATTTAATGTACATTAATTTGTTAAATTTATATTCTTTTAAAAGAGTCTGTTACCTTTCGTTGCAAAAGTCCAGAATTTCTATCATGGGCTGCCCTATCGCGCCAATGTTTGAGCAGCAGGAGATCAATCGGTGTAACATCCTTTTAAAAAAAAAAAGGTTTATTAAAAAAAGAATTTACTTCCTTATTGCCTCGGATAATCGAGGTTCTACTGTACTTATTAAATTATGTATTGATTGTAATTTTATAGAAACTGTAAGTCAGTAAATGTAAGAGCTTATATTAGTTTCAATGTTAATACAAATTTTATTCTTCTTGAATCAAAATGTATATCATATTGTACTTTGCTTTGTAATTTTTAATTATAAAAGTGTATTATTTTCTTTGAGATACTATGATTTAAAATTCTGTTTCCTTATCAATGTCTTCCAGTGTAGCTAATATATCTGCCTGCTTTCTTGGGTCAACTCAAACTAAAATGGGTCAAGTTAAAGAAGAACTGCTTCAGTAAGTTTATGCATATAATTTATTTGTTTATTTTTGTTATCTCTTTGTTTTGAATGATTTTTAATAAGTCAATCTGATAAATTTATGGTTTATTCTGAAGATCTGTCACAAGACTATTAATTGAGCCCTCTGCTGTAAAAGTTGTTAAGAGTATAGTCATAACCCCCAAGTAAAAATATTACTATTAACAATTAATTATTACAAGCTAATATTTGAATAGATAAAATCAAGGTTATTTTTATTCAAGCTCAACGCCCTTTTGAATTTTAATGAAAGGGAGCCTATTTATCTGTTTGATAATTTAAAAAAAAAAAAAATTAGATCATAAAACATTAAAATAAAATAATTTTTTTGAATTATTTTAAAATGATGAACTAAGAGGCAAAGGAATGACTCTTAGATTTATAGCCTTTACTTCTCTCAACCATCGATGAATATTGAAGAAGCAATTTCTTCAGTGTTGATTTTTCCCCTAACAGACAGCACACAAATCTTAAATTTGGTGTTTGGTCTCTTTAGTATAACATTGTTCAAATAATTAAACATTTGTGTTTATGAACATTTTCAATATTTTAGTTTTAAACTGTTATACAAATTAATGCAATTTATTTTATTTGCTATTTATGTATTAAAATAGAATTATATATTTTAGGGGAAAGCACAAAGTTATCTACATAACTCCAGAATTTGCTGAAAATGCTGTTTCATTATTGCAAACATTAGATAAAAATGTTGGTAAGATATTTAAGGAATTAATGTTAATTCAGTTGGATATTTCATCTTTTTATTTATATATGTATATATATTGAATTTCAAATATCAAATCATTTTTTTTTCCTAGTTTGCTTTCAATGCTTTTTTCCTTATTTTGTTAATATGAATTTCAGGAATTGTCCTGTTTGCTATTGATGAAGCGCATTGTGTTTCTCAATGGGGGCATGACTTTAGAAGCTCATACCGAAACCTAGGGTCTCTGCGTAGAACCTTTAGTCATGTATGTTTTGAAAATTGTTGTGCATTCCAAGATAAAGAAACAATTTATGTATTTTTTATACTAAAAAGTTTGTATCTTAAAAATATATCTTTGTTTAGGTTCCTTTTATGGCTGTAACAGCAACTGCTACTCCAACTGTTTTAAACGATATTTGTACTTCCTTAAATCTACGAAATCCTGTTAAAGTAGTTTCAAGTTTTGATAGGTAACTTAATTTACTTATAACTAATAATCCTAACTTAATTTTTTTTCAGCATCACTCTCTTATTTAATGTAACTTGTTTAAATGTAACAACATTTACCCCAAACGTAAGCAATACTTGAAATTTTATAAAGCAAAGATATCCTCCTAAAGTAGTTTTAATAGGTAACTTAACTTACTCATAACTAATAAACATAACTTAATTATTTCCCTTTCGTATTTAATGTATTTTGTTTAAATATAGCAGCATTTGTCCCAATACTTGCAATTTTATAAAGCAAATCTATCCTGAAGTAGCTTCAGACTCTGATAGTATGTTTATATCTTTATTATAACTTAATTTCTTTTAACATATGTCTTTAATTTAATGTAACTGTCATTGCTGTAACAGCAACTGCACATAATATTGAGAAAAAATTGTAGTTTTATAAAGTTTAATTTGTTAAACATTTCTTACTACTATGTTATACGGTTAGTCGTAAAGAGAAAATTATGGGCTATACTAACCTCAAAGTAATTTCTAAGCTATTTCACCGTTTCTCGTAGGTTTGCTTAGTTACCCAAAAAATTGCTTTTTTTATTTCGTCTGACTGTCACTTTTTTTGTCTGATATTATAATTCCATGGCTTCTCTATACTTAACGTACGTAAAAAATTTAGGCTCCGTGTTCTGAAACTGAGATTTCACGTTCCCAAAGCTTTCATCAATGAAAAATTCCATCAGATCTATCTCCTTCGNAACTCGCGCCCGGGGCACAATACCATTTTAGCGCCCCCCATTCGAAAACCATATAGTAGTATATGTAAAATATGCTCCCAAATTATTAAATAAATAATGTAAAGTAAATAAAGTCATAGGGTCAAGCTAGACTTTAAATTTGAGACAAAAAATGCAGTTGAGAAAACAATACTAGATTCTGAATTGTATATGATCATCTAGAATTAGTTCAAAAGATACCTATTATTTATTTTACATATTTATAAAGAAATATTTTAAGAACACGCAGTTTTAAAACAATAAAAAAGTAAATATTTATTATCTCTATGGGGATACATATATTTAATAATATGATTATAATACATTAATAAAACTAATTACTATGTATAAATTTTCCGCTTTTGATGAAGCAAATTTATCAATAATATCATCAAAGTTGATGATTACAAATTTGTTTCTTTCCACAATTAATGTTAGGTCACTTAGACCAGTGTTCCCCAACCCCCGGTCCGTGGATCAAATGGTACCGGGCCGCCTACTTCTGTGAAACTGAATTTAAACTCCTAGATTTATACCCCGAATTAAGAATATTTGTGTTCCCTTAAAATTTTATTTATTTAAAAAAAAAGGGCTCCCGAAGGTAGTGACATTAATTTTTAAATGTTTTAAAAAGTATAAAAAAAAGAAAAAAACAAGAAAACCACCGCAACTATTTTCTCTTTCAATTAGTTTTAATAAAACAAAATTAATATCTTAACTGTAAATATCATAAATAAAACACGAAGGCGAAAACACGAAGTTTACATTGGAACTAATGAAGAACTTTGCCTTTTCTCCCGATCGTGATTAATTGATTTAACGTTTTAGTAAGTTAAAATGTTAAATCACTTTATATTTATTTTTTGGTGTGACTGTATTTTATTTTGAAGGCATGATTAAATACAATTAAATTGAAATAAATAAATCAAAATAATCTAAAATGTAAACAATCAACGTCCACCCACCCCCAGCGGACCGCGGTAAAATTGTCAAACGTTGACAGGTCCGCCGCGATAAAAAGGTTGGGGAACACTGACTTAGACGATCTTGTCTCATCGTTGATCGTAGATATGTCAAAATTAATTTTAATTTGCGGAATGAACGTTCGCAGCTAGCAGTTGATACTGAGATAGTCAGGAGTACTTGAAGTGCCACTCTCAGGTTTGGAAAAACATCTTCTCCATACGAGATTATAAAAGTACGAAATTCTAATGGAGTTTTAGGTTAAATTTCTTTTCTACTGTGGAGTAACATTTTGCAGTCACATATTTCGATAAGAAGTTCTATTCCATTGAAATCTGCATTATAAAATTCGCCCAAATTTTTGCAATTTTTTTTCAAGGTCGTTATTAACATTATCCTCGTTTAGTAAATTTTCAATGTCTAGTAGAAATCCAAATATGAAATTAAGGTCACTTAATCGTGTACATATTTCTTGTTGCAGGCGATCAAGAACGCTTTTCATAACGCGAGAAATTTCACTTTCTGAGAAAAAAAACAACATCTCTAGCCAATTCTTCGAGCATTTTGCGGCGTCTTCCTACACGTATTGTTGCATCAATATCCTATTTTTCACAAAGAGATTTCGTTTTTTCTATTGCCTCTTCACAGAGCTTGTCTCAAATTTCGGGTACTTCAATCGCTAATGATTCAAGATCATTGAACCCTTCTCTAAAATTCATTCTAGGATCTTGTAATCTGAGCTGCACACGATCAATCCTCCTTAAGAATTCATATTAGAAATGAACTAAAGTTATGAAACTAAAAGTTAGTACATTTTGAAACAGAATTGTAGCTTCACTTCTGATGTCACTTGTAGTGGTAGTGTCCTCTGCTAATTTTTCTAATAGTTCTACTATATTCTCTAGCCCATTGATGATAACGCTAACCGCTTGTATTCTGCCGCTCCATTGTGTTTCAGATTCACGTTTGACAGTTTCTGTTAAAGCATTTTTTAATAATTCCCATCGTAACGTTGAGCGTGAGAAAAACAGATATATGCTTTCTGTGGTCTGCAGTTTGTTAAAGAAATTTCATCGGAATTTAATTATTCTATAATTGTATTTTTGATCGAGGCTGCATCTTTAGCATGTATTTCAATAAAACCCAAAAAAGATTCTTTGATGGAAACTTTTTTATTGATAAAATCAGCATCTACATACCTAGCGACTTGGGACATTTGTTCTCGATGAGAGATATCAGGAGTTGAATCAAACAAAAGTCCATAATATTTATTTCTTTTGATATCGTTTATTAGTTGATTTCGAACTGTAGATGCCAGAAGATGAATGAATTCATTTTGGATCTGTGTTGACAAATATGAGACAGTTTTTGGAGTTTCTGTGGCATGTTAAAGATGATTTGCTAGTAGCGAATCAAACTGAGCTACAAGTTTAAGTAAAGATAATAGGTTTCCAACTTTTGTACCAACTTGAAGTGCTAGTTTTTTAACATGGCTTCATTATTTGTTTTATTACTTACCAAGAATGCCTTGAATGCACGAAATAACTTAAACGTTAATATTTCGAGTATTTCCCTAATTTGTTGCAGACTTCCACTACCTGTCGAAAGTATCAAAGATACGTACAGTCACGGAAAAAAGTATCCGGAAGGTAACAAATAAGGAATCATTTATTTTTTTAATACAGATATTTCTCAGGCACACAACAAATACGGCGTTTGCGTCCTTTCCTAGAAACGGCAAAACGCTGTATTTGTTGTGTGTCTCCTTTCGATCCTTTAGTTGTTATTTTCCGGCTACTTTTTTCCGTGTACATATAAGTACATTAGAGTGTTATTGTTATCGTTTTAACAAGCGTAAGCTACATTGCGTTTATGGAAATAAAAATAAATATTGTTCTGAAAGAAAGAATGTTTGTACTTTGTAAACTTCAAATATTTTTTATAACATATTGTTTCATCAGACAAATCAAGAAAGGAGATAATTTCTGTAACCACACAGCGTTGATGCCATAAGCAAGTGCTTGTCGGACACAGATCGAGTCAGCCCTGCCAGTAGACAAGACGTGCCATTTCTATTATGAATATATTATTACACTTTGAATTAGACTATTAGTGTTCCTTTTTATTTATGAATTAACATTAATTATATTACACTGGCACTAAAATTAAAATATGTTTTCCAGAAACCAATTATAATAAAAATAAAAATTATCCAGCAATTTTTTGTTTTGCGGACCATTTGGCGCCCCTTTGAGAGTAGCGCCCGGGGCATGATGACCCCCCTTGCCCACTCCTCACTACGCCACTGCCATCTGGTTGGTTCAAGTTTCAGTTGCATATGGTTACAGGCAATTTTTTCTCTATAGAGAAACAGTTGCTGGTAATTTTAGCAAATGTGTTTTCTGTATTACATATTAGCAATGTTTTGTGGATGTTGATATGACTACGCTAACATTTGATTTGAATTGATTATTGTAGATCAGTTTCATCATGATAACTCTATTAAAATGACTGGATCCTTCCATCTTGTTTTTTGACACTAAAAATAATCTGTTACATTATGGAGTATGATCTCTGTATGTTTGCTCAGTCACTGATAATTTGAGCAACTGTCTACATCACATTAGCATTTTTGAGCAATTTTTAGTGGAAGTTGAGGATACAATTCGGCTTATGATTGACTTACCGGTTTCGTTGTAGATCATTTTCATCATGTGATATCCCTTTTAAAGTGACTGCATCATTCCATCAATGATGTTTTTTTATGGTTACATTCTTTACTAGGAACAAGAATTTTTTACATTAAACTTTTTTTATGTTTAGGTTTTTTATATTATTATTAATTATTTTATTACTGTTCTAATTACTTTTAGGCCCAATTTGTATTTGGAAGTCAGCATGAAGAGTAACTCAATAACAAATGATTTGCTGAGAGTGATGACTAAAAAAAATGGCAAGCCTAGTTTTGCGGGGCCAACGATTATTTATTGCCCTACTAGAAATGCAACTATAGAGGTTCACAAGAAGATTCTAGGTGAGTAATATTACTTAAAAGTCTCTGTTTAAACATTGCTGCTCATTAAAAATATACGAAAATTAAATTACATATGTCGGAAATATCTTATTTTTAATTCAACTTTTCTGCATTTTTAACTATAAAATTTTTATTTCTATACATACAGTATTTTGTGTAGGAAAATATTACTCCAAAAATATGCACTTTTTTTTACAGTAAAAAATATATATATAATTTTATGCTTCACAAATTATTGCTCTTTAGTTCTAAGTAGCGTGTTTAAAGTAATGTATAATGTTAAAATTTTATGAATATTTATTTTAAATTTTGTCTTTTAATTGTGGCTGGTATTCAGGTTTTGGTTATTGCAAAGGGTCTTGGTTTTCCAAATTTGGTTGAAGTTGTAATCAAAATATTTTATATAATTATTGCAGTTTTTCTTTTAATAAGAAAAGCTTTCTTGAAAAATTATGTGTTTTGTCTTAGTGAAATTATTATCATCCATTAATTCAAAAATAGTTAGTTATTAGTTGATTGTATTTTTTTTCCCTTAAGCCTAATAAAAAATAAGTATATAGAAGGAATTCCTGTAATAAAATTTTTGTTAGTGTCTAAATGTTAATTGCTAGTAATCTGAATTTAATTCGCTCGTATCAAATAATATTCTTATAGATACAATTCTTAAAAATACTTATTTTTGAAAAATTATTTTTTTGATAGTTGAATTTTAAAATTAAGTTTACCTGTTTTATTCTAGATATGAATGTATCTTGTCAGATGTATCATGCAGGAATGACACCTTTACAACGCAAGACTGCTCATCGAGAATTTGTTCATGACAAAGTTGAGGTAAAATTCCTGATCGTACATTTACAACATTACCATAAAACATGTTTTTATTTACCACATGTTTTACACCACAATAAATTTAGAAACTTTAATGTAGTGTACTAACATAACTCCAAGAATCAACTAAAATGATAATCAAGTTTCATTAGCTGTGGTGGTAACTATATAAAACCTAGAACTAGAGTATACACTGTTTTCCATAGTGGTTAGACCAGTGGTTCCCAAACCATTTTGCTTTATTCTCTCCTCTTTACTATTTCTAGAGGCTCATTCATCTTTTCAAAAACACATAGTTATACAATATTTATTGAGATTTTAACTGTTTTGTAACATGTTTTAAAATTTAACAAAAGCAGTGCTAATGCTTTCATGGTTATTTTCTTTTCATATTAACAAACAAATCATTTAATTGTAAGAAATAATTCTTTAATTTTTAGGAAAAATGGCTAATGTGTTGTTAGTAACTTCTTGTTTAATGAAATGCCTGTCATTGATTTTTATTTTCTTCATCAATTTTTTAACATACAGAATAGCACTTGTAAAGACTAAAACACTGGTTACTTCCAACTATAAGTCATTTTCGTTTGTAACCTAATTGAGAAACAATGCTCTGATAGCTCTTTCTGACACTTTAGATAAAATTTGCACGAGTAGACTAAAATTCTGAGATTGCTTTCTCTTTAAATATGTTTTTTGCTGGGATATAATTTTTTAAGTCTAAGAAACTCAAATAGCAAAATCTAAAAACTTTTTCAACAATGAAACTGAATTTCAGTTCTGATCAGAGAGTTCAGGAAAGCCTACCCTTAAGTTCATTTTCAGAAGATACAAAGGGGTATTCAGTATAAATCACGATTAATCTGAAGAACCTCATTCCTCCCTTGAAAGTACGAAATTACCCTTTGGTTAGAGACTACTGGGTTAGGCTCTCCAACTTTAGATTAAATGGCCAACGAAGATCATTTAAAACTTCCAAGTTGCTTACCATGGCATCAAGCAATGAACTGTTTCACTTCTAAATGGATGACAGCTTTACAATACTTCACCCTGTTCCACGGTTTGCTTTGACGTAACTGAAGTTTCGAGCAACGCCAAAACCCCAACTGTAGTGGAATAACAAATCACTTAGGACCACACAGCCTCTTAATGACGTAGAATGCTTACAGCTGATAATGGGTCAGACATAATCTTTAATTTGAGGGGGAGTGTGTGGCAGTAACTTTATTAAGCTTCTTCAGAGTGTGTAGCATTTTTAAAAAGTGCTTAAAGGTGCTCATTTTTTATTACCGTTTTTTAAAAGCACTTAAATGTGCTTTTTTCTTTGGAAGTTTATAAAAAGTGCTTTAATTTTTCCTTTTACAAAATGAGATTTTGTCTTTACCATTTTTAAAATTTGTTAAATAATTAAGTAAAGTAGTTATTTATTTAAAAAATCGAATGAGCCAATCAATAATGAATATATTTAAAATTGTGCATAAATTGTTTTTAATGTGGGTGAAATCAAAATATAATCAAGAAACAAGTTCTTTGTCAGAAACTAATTTTTTCTCATGATCATGTAAAGTCTTTGAAAATTATTTTGCATTTTGTTTATATGTATATATATATATATAAAGAACTTTCATCAATAGAAAGAAAAAAAATTATAAGTGCAAATATCCTAATTCTGAAGTGCTTAAAAATAATTTTTGAGTGTTTAAGAAGTACTTTAAAGGTGCTTATCTTTTGTTAAAAAATTTGGCTATGCACCCTGTTCTGAATTCATTGTGCTTATGTACACCCATAAATATACATCCTTTTCCATAATAATTAGAACATCTGACTTCAAGACCAAACTGATGATGATTTCTGGGCCCTGGATCAAAATTCATAGCAAACCCCTTTTTTTAAAACAGTATAAATGTAATTTTCATATTTTTAAAGCTATTTACTAAATTGCTAATTATTAACGCTAAACTAAAGGTAATTTATCATTTGATTCTTTAAATAACACTTTTTATTACTAAATTATTAGTTTCAATCGTTTTATTAATGCTTACTTTTGTTGCAAATTCAACATTAATTTGCTTATGTTATTGACTTGCAGTAAGCATAAATAAAAAAATATTACTGAAATATTGCAAGCATACATAGAAATTTACAGATATTTATTTTAAAGATAAATAAAAGAAAAGGCAAAAAATTTTTAAAATTTTAAATAAAAATATATAGCACTTTTTGTAAAGAATTTTCACCTGGCCACAAGGCAATTGTCCCTTTCTACCCCCTTCTTCTTTTTATTCAGCATTCAATAAACTGGCTTAAAAAATTTTATTTCTAAGATATGACAGAAACATATCTATCTAATTTATGTTTGATACTATTGCTTCACAAAGACACAATTAGAATAATTCTGCTTCACAATCTGTCTTTATGACCTAAACTTAGTTTTTTTTCTCCCCCATTTAGGTTGTTGTTGCAACTGTTGCTTTTGGTATGGGCATTGACAAGCCTGATGTCAGGCGTGTTATACACTATGGTGGTATGTGATTTTTAATTTTTTTAACTTTTTCGAAAGAAAAACTTATTGAAAAGAAAATTTATGTTTTTCCAAAGGTATAAATATAAAACTTTTAAAATTTCATTGTTTAAACTCAAATAGTATTTTTCCATAATGTCTCGATTGTAAGAGGCTTAATAGTTTGTATTAATTTATAGAGTGTATGTTATAATGCTTTTTTGTTTTTTTATTAGTAGAATTAGTTTAGAATGTGAAAATCATGATTGAATAGTTATGAGTCTTCATTTACTAATCCCCAATGCTGCATTCTAAGGATTTTAAAAGACATCAACTTTTTTTAAAAAAACATCTTTTTTATGAGCTAAACATTTAATGAAATGTAAATTTAAAAACAAAGTAAAATATGTATTAAAAAAAAAGTATTGGAGCACATGTAAAAGAATTTTCTGCTCTTGTGTTTAATGTAAAGTGAAGTCTGTATATTTTTAAATACCTACCCATTTATTTGAGCCCACAAAACAAAAGCCCCTTGATTTATAGAGTAGTTTAATCAATTTTCAGAACATTTTCAATTTGAGAAAATACATCTCATCCTCTAAATAGAAATATTGTTTTTAAAATGCATAATTGCTTAAAATATATATTTTAGTTTATATTGAAGAAACCATATTAAAAAACCAATAGTATGTGAAAAAGATCTAATATTTGAATGGCTAAAACTATACTTTTTAAAAAATATTTATGTAAATTTATTAGAATTTCAAGTATCCTAACTTCAGTCATATGAATATTTTTTTTATAAAAGTAATAGATGGCTATTTAATTTTATTGAAAAAGTTAATCCAAAAATTAAATTCAACTGGTAGGTGGTTATCTGCAGATTTGATACTGCAGAAAATATTGTAAAAATATAGATGAAACATTACTTTTGTATTTATTAAATAAAAAATTCTTATCAGTAAAATACCATTTTTTGGAACTTACATCAATTTTTATTGGTTTATGATTTTGAAAAGTATTTTCCATTTCTGGCTTTGTAAACATTATTGGTTCCAATCAAAGTATTCCCATGAAACTTTGGTCATGGCCTTATTAAAATTTTAAATGAAATTTTATTTTTTTATTTTAGTAGCTTATGTTATTGATTAAATCTTTAAATTGAAAATAATGTATATTAAAAAATAAATGCTGTAACTCAGGATAACTAACTAATTCAGGACATTTTTTTTTTCAATATTGATAATTACATATATTGTTTAAAAATTGCTAAGAATCACACTGCTCATTCCTGTGGAGATCATTTGTGTTTTTTATTATGGTTATAAAATGTAAAGTATATAGAAATGAAGCTTTGCAGGCACTACCACTTGTTGTGTTTTTGATCAAGGCACATAATTATATGCTTAAGAATTATTTTTAGCTATAACAAATGTAGGCATAACTTTAAAAAGTTTTTATAATAGTGTGTTCACAATTTTTTTTTTAAAAAGCAAATGTGGAGCAAATTTATAGATACTAAAAATAATTATGATGAGGGACTTTTTTTTTTTAAGCATTATGATTTTTTCTCAAAATTTTTAGAGGCGAGTGTTACTTTATGCACTTCTTAAAGATCTTAAAATGAAGTTAGTGAGTTTTATAGTGTGTTAGCTTCAAGATATAATTACAAAGTAATTAGTTGGTGATTAAAATATTAATTTTGAACTGTTATTCTCATTCTAGCACCAAAGGATATTGAGTCTTATTATCAAGAAATAGGTAGAGCTGGCCGTGATGGTTCTCCAAGTATTTGCCAAGTCTTTTATTCCAATGGAGATTTTGTTACTTCAAAGTTAGTTATTCTTAGAAGTGTCATTTTTAGATTCATCTATATAAAATTTTATCTGAAATAGTTTTTTATTTTATGACCGGTATTGAAAAGTCTAGCTTTTTTGGGTTTACAACAATCAATGTTCAACTTAGTTGCTTGGTAACCCCGCTGTGAAGACCAGTGGTCTCCTGAATCCAGCAATGAAGCCAACTAGTCTTTGTGGAGAACTTTTTGAATATTCATTTGTTTTACACAGAGAAGAAAACCACTAAAGTCACTTTGATTCATTATTTTATTGATTAGATCTTTTTAATGTGTACGACATTTTTATGATTGGTTGAATATACAAGGCCCCTTTTATTAGATGTAATTTTCAATGAATAACATTTAAGTTTCATAAATAACTAAATGTTTATTCAAATAATAATCAAAACAAAAAAAGTATTTATATTTTTGTGTAGGTATGTTGTTCATCCAAAAAATTATGAATGATTGCAAAAATTTCTACAAATTCAAAAGATATTATAATATAATTTTAGTTGCACCATTCTTAAACCTGATGCAAGTTCTATACATTTGTTAAAGTAATTTTCATAACTGGTGACATGTTTTTTTTTATTATGTCAATGTCATACTTTGCTGCCAATGATTAAAATCATAAAGTTACTGCTTCTGAAAGATCAATNGGAGAACTTTTTGAACTTTCTTTTTTTTTTACACAGAGAAGAAAACCACTAAAGTCACTTTGATTCATTCTTTTATTGGATTAGATTTTTTTTTTAATGCGTATGACATTTTTATGATTGGTTGAATATACAAGGCCCCTTTTATTAGATGTAATTTTCAATGAATAACATTTAAGTTTCATAAATAACTAAATGTTTATTCAAATAATAATCAAAACAAAAAAAGTATTTATATTTTTGTGTAGGTATGTTGTTCATCCAAAAAATTATGAATGATTGCAAAAATTTCTACAAATTCAAAAGATATTATAATATAATTTTAGTTGCACCATTCTTAAACCTGATGCAAGTTCTATACATTTGTTAAAGTAATTTTCATAACTGGTGACATGTTTTTTTTATTAAGTCAATGTCATACTCATTTGCTGCCAATGCTTCTGAAAGATCAATCTCTTTCGAACTGAATATATTTTTAAATCTCATTTTGTTATTAGTTGTAAACATTTACTTTTTACATATCTTTACAAATGAATTAATTTGTCATTTTATTTACTGTTTAGTTTTTTTGTGCTTTCTATTTCATCAAAGCAAAAAATCCTAAGAGCACAAATCTGTGAATTATTACAAAATGACTTGTTTTGCATAATTCTGCTAGAAATATCCTTTTTTTGTCTTTTGTTTATTTTGAGCACACATCTCAAAAAATTTAAAATAAATATATTTTCCGATTATGTCTGCCTTGTGCTTAGGACCCCTAAGCCTAACTTTTATAAATGTTGTAAACTTTATGGTTTGTGAAAATGCTTTGTAAATGTATATCATAATATCTCATTTTTTTAATGTTGTATAAGTTTTTTAAAACTATTTCATTATTGCGTTTTCATCTCTTTTTTTTTTCTTTCTCATCTACGAATTTTTATTATCTCATTTTTTGGAAATCCTGACAATTAATATATGATGTTATTTTGTAGCCAAAGTTTTGAAATACTGTTAACTTAATTTGTTAACCAGAGAAACACTTAACTTTTTGCCATATCTTATTGGTAAGCAATGCCATTCATGGCTGAAAAACATGGGTAGTCATTTTACTTTGCGGGAATTGCTATTGTTATAGATGTTTCTTATTTTTTACTCAAACAGTGATATAAAAACCAATATTGTTGCAGTAAAAAAAAATTTTATTGCAGGTTTTTCTTGAAAGAAATTAAAAGTGAAAAGTTTCTAGCTCATAAACAAGATATGATATCCAAAATGCAGCAGTATTTAAACTCAAATCAATGTCGAAGGAAAATGCTTCTATCTCATTTTCAAGGAGAATCTGTAACAAATTTGAAACAAAGTGATAAATGCTGTGATAATTGTAAGAAAAAGTAAGTTCTTTTGTATCAATAATATTATAACAATCGCATTCATTTAAGGAAAATTAGTAAAAATATGTAATAACATTGCTAAAGAACAACATTATAATTTTATTCAATTTGTGTTTTGATGAACAATTTTCTCTTTTATATTAGAAACAAAATTTAAAAAAAACTTGTTAAATGAGAAAAATTTGCTTTTTCCAATAAATTTATTCTTAAATTTTTTTTGAAAATTGTATTGCATCTTATGTAACTAGTATTTATTTGTAGTACATGATATTAATTGTATTACAATTATTTTTTCCCAGAATCAAAAGAGCACAAATGTCATCTCAAAATAGTACATCATCTCAATGTATTGCAGATGACAAAAAAGATTTTTCTGAAGAAGCAAAACTCTTGTTTAGTGTAGTAGAGGTAAATTCTGTTTTATTGCTATGTAATATTATTAAAACATTGGCTTTTAAGTTTTGTTGCAGCATTATTTTTTAAGAAGATTATTTTTCAATCTATATATATATATGGTTTGTAATGAAGGGTGTTGTGTTGGCCTGATATCTCTAAAATTTGGCCTGGGCCACCAATTTGTTCAGTGTTCCTCCAGACCAACAATCAACGTGTAGGGATGGTATGCTGTTTTGATTTCATGTTTTGGTCTGTGTTTTTGTCACAAAATAGTATATTTCATTACAGTTGTGAATATTATTCGATCTCTATATTGTAATTTTTCATTTAAACTCTTTTTAATTACTTACATAATAAAAATATAGGAACATGTAAAAATGTAAGAGGGCCAATGGAAATGTGTACGGACTATCAACATCTTATCGTTGAATCTGGTTATTCTTAAAAAGTTTATTCTTTTGTACTAATGAAAATTTTTATTTTCTCCTTAAAAATTTGGTTTTATGCGATTGAATACGCCTTCCTTGTGAAATAGCTAAAGATATTATTTAAACTATTTATGAGAAAACTGTAATCCATCAGAGGTCAATGGATTGTAATTTTTTACAATCCTTTATAGGTTTCCATTAAAGATTGTGAATACATTGAACAACCTTATAATAAGTATAGAGTCAGGTGGGGGAAAGTTGTGTAAAAATCAATCAGTGTTAACGTTCAAGGAGACTTTAAAACTAAACTATTAAATTTATTTTAAGGAAACTTTTGGTGCATTTTATATCCATTGAATCCATATAGATTAAATATGAAGCATAATTTTTATTTTATTTTGTTTGATTGTTTTCTTACAGTAGTGCTTTCAAAAGAACATGTTTTGATATGCCCACTTTTCCCATGATGGAGTAAAAGTTTAGATAATTCTAGAATTGGTGTATATTTCATTAAGAAACGTACATGAATATTATTTTTAAAATAAAAATGATTGTAATAAATATATTTTAATTGTATTTAAAAACACAAATATTTATTTTATATGTTTTTAAAATAAAGAGTTAATGTTCATGGCTATCCAAACTAGGCTTCACTTAGGATGTAGTATGTTTTGTTGAATTTGATCAAAAATAGCTAGAAAAGTGTAATGGTTTTTTTGTGTGAATATTTTAAGTATTTATTATATTAATATATAATAAATATTTTATATTTTTATTATATGAAGTTAAAATTAATGTCTTATTTCAAGTATTTTATTATTCAAGTTATTTTAAGAAATTTTGTTTTCCATTAAAAAAAAACTGCTCTCTATATGTGAAACTTTAGTTATGCCTTTAAATATACTCACTAAGTCATTCATATACTCACTAAGCCATTATGGTATTTTTTTTTTTTTTGTTCTAATCGAATCATATACCGGTTATAATCTATATAGGGTAATAAAAAGGAATTACTTTTGAGCTATTTTATAGGCATTAGGTATTTACTAAAGTTAATAAAGAAATTTTAAAAAAATGTCTCTATCATGCACCTTAGCTAAGCCTAACCTTATATCCAACTTATTTATTATGAAGAGATTGTAAACCCTCTGTGCTTAGCTTTAAAAATTAGCAAGTTTGAAGCCTCTTTCCATCTTTAAATGTTTATGCAATATTTGAGTAGCCTCTAAATTTATTTATGCTCTGAATTTTTGGAAGTGTTTTGCAAATTAGTTTTCATCCAAAACAATTTCAATTTGTCACTGTGCTAAGTGAAGATAATACTATTTATTTTCTTAGTAATATTATAATTCAGTACCTATTTATAACATTTAGTTTTTTCTCAATTATTAACTAAATTTTAAAAATCGATAAATGTTATGCTATCAATGTTTTTTAAAACGATCTAGTTTTTTATTATAAAAATTTTTGCAGTTTTTCTTGTAATCAACAGCTTTTTAAAAGTACAAATATTATCTATTTTACACATGATAATAAAAAACTTTTCTGTGTTAAATATTTATAACTTATGGTTCATAGTATAAGACTTGTTTTCTAAATTTTATTGGTTTACTAATTATT